AATAATAATAATAATAATAATAATAATAATAATAATAATAATAATAATAATAATAATAAATGTCAATATAATTTGTATATGTATAACGATAGAAGTATATATATGTATATGTACATATATATATATATATGTATGTCATTCGTGAGTATATATATGTAAAATGCACATAATATCATGTAACGATATATATATATATATGTATATATGTATGTATATATATATATATATATTTTTACGTATTGATATATATATATATATAAAAATGTAGTAAAAAAACAACCATGGCCAAAAACGAAGGTCAACTTCTTGACAGTGAGCTAGCAAGACAGGCTGGCAGGGATGGGACTGAATAGGACGTATATAATGTATATTATAGTATTAGATGCCGGTTTTCCTTCGATCCCGCGAATCAGTCAGAGGAAGAAAGAGATAATTTATAATACTGTTCAGTATTTAGGGAATAGGATTTTTTAGGGAAACATTTCTTTTTTAACGTTAATCAATTTTTCCTTTCACGAGAAAACAGGTAGGGAAAAAAGAAAAATTAGAGCAAAAAGTCGAAGATATATATGTATACTCGTGAAAGATCGATGGAAAAACAGCGCGGTCGAGGAATGGACGCACGAATATAATAGCAAAGAGAGGAAGGAATTGTTGGAGTTATCTCGTAATATTTAAATTGGGAAAGATGAAGAACGAGGGTGAGGTTGAGAGAGAAAGAGAGACAGACAGAAGAGAGGACGATATGCACGATAGGATGTGAATTAATTTGGAAGAGAAGATAATACGTTCGTCAAAGTAGACGGCATGCACGATTGATCTTCCTTCTGCGCAGCGCGTCTCGACGATCTTTTCTTTACGGGACGCTGAAGCTAAAACGATCGGCAAGCGGCTAGGTTCAATTTTTTGTCGTTATTCTTGTCTCTTCTTTTTTTTTTTTTAACGTTTTATCGCGCCATTTTGTGCAAGATTTTCGGCAAGAAATCGAATCGAAACGTAATCGAATCTCAAAATCAAAGAATAATCCGTATAACGTGTTCGAATAAACTTGTTCGAAACACTTCAACACTCTGGTTTCTGGAATTGTTAACGCTATCACGTGTTGGATGCATCCTCGTATTCGATAGAAGTAGAATAATGTGTTGAATAAATCCCTTGCTCGCTCGAAAGGAGGAGAGGAATGAACGGTTCTCTCATCATTTGTCATCGAACTTCTCCGATCACACTCTACTCTCGATTCAGGACTCGACTCTAGCGACTCTTGTTAATGATACGATCACTTTCAAAATTAGCGGGGAGAGCAGCAAACAGCAAAGCACTTGGGCACACATGCAAATAGACCCACATGCAAGTGAACTCGAAATATAATGTATAATATGCCTGTCTATCTATCGGCGGGGGATAGATAGGCAAACAAAATAGATAGATATATATAAATAGATAGATAGATAAAATGGATCGTGTTGAAAATGTTATCGAACGACGAACATTCGTCGTTGCCCCGGGCGATGTTACGGACTCTCTTGTCAACCGACGGTCGTCAACGAGTAGCACGTAAACGAACGATTTGTCGTAATCTTCGTACGATCTCGAGTATGCGTCGAGATCCAACGAATTGCAGACGTTTCTACTTCTCTATCTTTATTTTTTTTTCTTTTCTTTAGTTTTTTGTATTCTTAT